TATAGTTAAGCCTTGATTGTTGTAATTGTCACTGGGAGGAATTGACCTCCAGGCCAATTGGCTGTGAGAATCAGCTGTGTCTGCAGTGGGAGAACTTCTGTGCAGGAGACACCCCTCTGGGGCAAAACTTGCTTCAATGGGGCTTTGGTGCTTACTGAGTCTGCCCCCTGAGTGTGTCCCTTCTGGTTCCACAGAGCTGCAAACTGGATGGTCCCGCTCTGACCTCTGGGTGGCTCCTGGCTCCTGGATCTCTAGGGAGGTGCTAATCTAGCCTCTGCTTTAAGCTATCCCGCAAAAACCTCCCTGCAGGGCTTGGGCGGGTGGGGTCCCACGGGATCAACAGGGCGGGGCTAGCAGTTATGGCTGCTCTCAGAGGCTCCACTTCTCAGTGTCTGGACAATCGCTGCTTGCCCCTGGGAGAGGAAGCTGCCCTGGAGTTTTGACCAATGCCAGACCGTTTCGCTTCTCTCATATGAGTCTGGGTCCCCAGAGACTCGCCCAGAACTGGAGCTCAGAGCCTGAGACTCCCTCCCGATTGAAAACAACAACCGCACCCTCAGCTGCCAGCCCTCTCCGCATGCACCTCCGCACCTTAGTATTTTACTTCCGCACTGCGCCCCCTCTGAGTCTCAGTATGCTTTTCTCTTTCCTTCTAGTTGTGGAATTTCCACTCAGCCAGCCTTCCTGTGGTTCTGGATGATGTCTGTTCCGTCTTTTAGTTGTATTTTTGAAGTGGTTGTTCGAGGCAGCAAACTCCAGTGTTTACCTATGCTGCCATCTTGGTTTCCTCTGTATTCTCTTTATGCCTATTTTAAATAGTGCTGCTATAAATGTATGTGTAAAATTTTCAGTACCCATGTATACAATTTTCTCATTTTTAAAACTATGAATGAGATTAGTGGAACATAGAATATGTACATATCTTCATCTTTAATACATAATGCCAAACAATTTTCCCCAAATGCATTTACCTGTTTACACTAGTGCTAGAGTGTATGAGACTTCCTATTGTTCTACATAGCTCCCAAACTAAGCATTACCAGATTATTTAAGTGGCTATCATTTTGCTGGGTGTGTTTAGTATTTCAGTTTTATGTTTCTTGATTTATAAATGAGGTTGAGCACCTTTTGTATTGTTGGACCTTTTTTACTTTCCATTTTGTGCAATAGCTGTTCACATAGTTTGCCTATTTTTCTATAGCTGTTGTATTTTTCTATTATTTTTACAATTTTATCATATTCTGGATATAACCCGTTTCTTGATTTTGCACTCTTATACTCTATCACTTGGGATCAAGAATAATTTTCCCCCAGGGATATTCAAGTGGATCAAGACCATTTCTTTAAAATGAGTTCTACATATTTTTTTTTAAAGAAAACAATTGTCCATTATATATGCATGGTGTTTTTCCGTTCTAATCTATGTAACTTTTTTTTGCATCAATGCCATTTTGCTTCTTTCATTTCCACCTAAATTTTCCACAAAAACAACTTTGTGAGGTTTTGATTTGTATTGCATTGAATCTAGTATTGAAGAACATGAAACTAGTTGACATCTTTATAATAAAGAGTCATCAATTCATGAACATGGTCTATTTATCTAAATAATATGTAAAATTTCTTAATATTTTATAAATTTTTAATGTAGAGGTTCTATACATCTTTAATTAGATTGATTCTTAGGTATTTGCAATTTGTGATCATTATGCACATCAGCTTTAAGTTAAAAATTTATTTCTGTTTAATAATGATATATATGAATATGTTGTATTTTTTGTTTTGTTTTAACATGTTATTAGTTCTAGTAATTTATCTACAAGTGCTTTATATTTTTTGATATAGACAATCATCCTATCAGCAGATAATAATGGTTGCATTTTTTTCTTTTCAGTTCTTATACCTTTTATATCCTTTGTGTCTTATGGCATTCGGTAGAACCATTAGTGCTATGTTAAATAGAATATTAATAATATTAATATTTCTGGTAGCAAAGAATTCTCTAACTTTTATATATCACAAATATGCTTATTTCACCATCACTTTTGAAAAATAGTTTTGTTGAGTGGGAAGTTATTCCCTACCCCCAGCACTTTCAAAATGACATTCCATAGTCTTCTTTTGAAAAGATGGCTGTCAAAATTATTGTTCAGGTTGTGTGCATTTTTCTTTTTCTTCAGCTTCTTTTCATAATTTTTCTTTGTTTTCGATTTTTCCGTTCCTTTATTATATGCTCAGTTTTAATTTTTTTGATTTTATCTAGCTTGTGGTTTTTAAAGCTTCTTGAATATGTGGCTTGATGTCTTTCATCAGTCTAGCAAAATTTTAGCTGTCTGCTTTCAAACATTGCTTCTGCCTCATGTTTTTTTCTTCTCCTCTTCTGTAATTGAAGGGATATGTGGATTAAATTTTTCACCATATCTCTTATATCTTCAGGTGCCCTATCTATTTTTTGAAAATCATATTTGATCTTTTTTATTACATGCTGGATATTTTATTCTGACCAATCATCTACTTTAGCATTTCCCCCTTTCTTCTTAGTTCAGTCTAGTGTTAAAATCATTGATTGAACCTAAACTTCAATTATGACATTTTTAACTTTAGAATTATAATTTTCATTTTAGAAATAGATTAACATCATGGTGAATTTTTAAAACTTATTACATTAATCACAGTTTATTTTTGATCTGCTGGATCACTGTAATAATTGGATCATCTGCATCTTTTTCATTGTTCATTTTTTCTTATGATCCTCTTGCTCAGTTAGCTTGATAAGGTATTGAATTCTGGGTATTATGCATGGAAGTTGTAGTTCTAGATGTAGTTATATTCCTCCACATATGTGGATTTAGGGCATTTATGGAAAGACTTGAAATAAAATTTTTCTCTTTTTATCTACTACAATAATATCTATCATTATAAATCTTCCAAACATTTTATACTTTTATCTCTCAAACTCCCCAGCTTATTTTATAGTCTCCCCACCATTGGTAGCATGAGAACCAAGCTTATTGAAGTTTATTACTGTTTAATTACCCTACATTTTTTTTTTATCCTGGACATTGGCTAATGCTATAGGAATTTTGTACCTCACTAAGTTCTATTCATTTGGCCTAGAATTTTAAAACTGGATGTGACCTAAGAGATAGTAATTTCTCTCAATTTAATGATGACTAAAATGTGGCTCAGAGACATAAAAAAAACTTGCCTAACGCTATTAATGTGAATGCATAGACTAAACCCAAAAGTTCTAGGATTTTGCTCCACTGTCCCTTTCACCATTAAATGAGCTCATTTGGCATTAACGAAGGCAATGGTATTGTGACGAAAACTACTTAATTGACTTATTCTCTCAGAGGCACTTTAGCAATACTCAGATTTTCTCTTCAGAATGGATATATAATATAAATATTTTAGCTCAATACTTTATAGGAAAGTTGAACTATTATAAAAGTAATGTAAAGATATGTATGGTATACACACAATATGCATTCATAGGATAAATTATTTTTATACATAATTTTGGTCAAATTTGACCCAGATGCATAAATTATTTATAAATCTTTAAAAGATCACTTCAATTTCACCTGCTATTTCTCAGCAGTGTAATAGACCTATAGAGTTTTCTATAGATAGGAGCAAAATATATTATAGCTTATTAAAATTTTATTCTGGTTTTGTAGCAAATAAAGAACATTTAGACTCCAATGAAAAAATTAAATTTTCTAGCGTAAAATCTTCCTGAGTACTTCCCAGTAAATTAGGAAGAGACGCCTCCAAACTACTTGGTTTTCTGAACCTAAATTCAGTGTCAATAAAGGGTTTTTATTTCTGCAGCGGGGCTTAACTGTAACGGAAATTTCCAGAGAAACTAGCTAGTGAAAAGTTCAGTCAGTGAAGTAATCTATAATACTTGATTGGAAGAATGGTTTGGAAAAAGATTTAAAGAATTTTCTCTACCTATGGAGCCATCTATAGAATTAAGATTAGAAAGTCTATAATTGTTGAGAAAGTAACCTCCAAAAAAGAGTTGAGCATTAAAAGACAAATGCAAGATGATAATTCAAAGGCTTACTATAATCTAACAGATGAAAAGGTGGATCAAATGTCAAGGGTTTCGTTTTCTCCTGAATATCTTTGTAGTTACATGAAAATATTATAAACTAAGAGAAGCATGTGATAGTGTTGATGACATTTTCTCCAGTTAGTATCTTTTAAAAAATATTTAAATATACACTGAAAATATTCTGTCTATGCAATTACTATGCATGCACTGTAAATACCACACTGTCAGTTTGGCTGTTAAATACTTAATATTTGCTTTTTTCAAAGTAATTTTTTTATACTATAGTTTCATATCACCATGGATCTGTAATAGAAGGTGTATCAATGTTAACTGATATTTTTGACACATTGATTATAATTTTCCTTTTTATTATTGTGCATTAAAATATTTAAAAGTTATTATCTCTTTGGTAAGTAGTCTTGAAAGTTGATCAGTGTTTAAATTCTTTAGTGTTTGGATGATCTGAATGCTAAGGGGAAAGTTCAGAACAGTAGAGATCATAAGACGTTTCCAAAAATTAAATGAATGATATATACTTTAATAATTATATCAGAAATAAATCCAGTAATATTTTATTTCTTTACATTACTACTTTGAATACTAGGACACAAATTTATTTCAAATGACTTTGTATTTTTTTTTGGTAATTCCTTATTGCTTTTCAAGCTATTCTTCATATTACACTTTTCCACATTTGTTTTCTACATTGACACACACACAAATACTTCAAATCCCACATATGATTTATACCAGAACTAAGGAAATATATTTGGGATTTATGCTTTATATGTAAAAGTGTCAGGTAATAGAATTATTGATGTCCTGGACCCTTTATCTTCAAAGATACGGAAGATTTTGTAACATTTAAAGAATTCTAAGGAGTATATACTACAGCTGAATGTTACATATATTTTCATTAGAAAGATTGGGGACATTTTCTTCTGGCTACATTTATTAAATGATGTCTAAGTGGTATCATGCAGCAATTCAAATGGAGGGTTCAAAGAGATAAAATTAACATAGAGTTAGCCCAGTTAATACTGTGCTTTATTTTCACTCTTTTAATTCTTACTAGAACCCAAACATTTTATGGAGTAGTTTACCTACAGACATTAGGATTTTTATTTGTTGCATAAAAGCAAAGATATGTGAGCCCACAATTTATATCAACATGGACTTATCAATAATAGCAACTTGATGAAATGCTGTCTTGATGAATCTAATTAGAAAATTGTGTCAAGATGTTTACCAAAATTGATTTACTATGATTAAGGCTTCTAGAAAATTTAAATCTCCACATTATAATTTTTCAGTGAACACTAAAGGTTGTTGCGTGATATTGAGAGAAATTAAAGAAATGGATTTCAGCAATTTGAAAATCAGACTTCCAAAAGGGAACTCAGACAAGAATACTATTCAAATAGTTTTAGTTACTTTGAAAATAACATCCAATATTAAATACTGCCAATAGGAGTATGAATTTGTTTTATGAGTAACATAAAAGTAGTATACAAACATAGCATCAAAATAATAACAATTCAAGAATTTTAAATAAAGTATATTGAAACAGATAAGATAAAAAACTAAAACGTTTAAAGTCAGCTAGTGAATCTATAAAGCCTCTCCCTAAAGAAAATAAATCAATATGATCACTTTAGAAAAGATCGGTGTGGCGCTACTCAATTAGTATTGATTTTGCAATGTTTAATGAAAAGTTATCTTTTATTAAAAATTTATGGTTATATTTTGATTGGAGATAAGGGAAATAAAGAATACTCGAGTCATTGAAATGAGGAAATACTTAACAAATGTAAGGAAAATAAAGCATATCAAGGTAAAATACTCACCCTTTCATCCACATGATGGCGCTAGAAACCGCGTTTTTATTTTATTTTTAAACAAAGGAATACAGTACAGTGAGTTTACATTCCTTAGAAAAAAGGCCACTCCATTTTATCCTCAGCGGCTGAAGATGAAAAGGCGAGCAAGTAAAAATTAAAGCAAATTGGGAATTAAGTTTCCCAAAGCTGTTGTGTGGTAGTGCAAAGACATTTGAAAATTGCACCAAATTTGCGATGGTATATTCCCAAAGAAGTACGGGAGCCGGGCGTCTGCTGCTGTCGCTTCTGCTCCTCGCAGCCTGGGAGGCCGGGGCTGGCGGAGCTGGTGCCGCGCCTGTTCCGGGTGGCGTCCAAGGGCCGCGGGGACCTCCTGGAGGTAAATGTGCAGAATGGCATTTTGTTTGTGAATTCTCGGATCGACCGCGAGGAGCTGTGCGGGCGGAGGGCGGAGTGCAGCATCCACCTGGAGGTGGTGGTGGAGCGGCCGCTGCAGGTTTTCCACGTGGAGGTGGAGGTGAAGGACATTAACGACAACCCGCCAAGGTTCTTGCGACAAGAACAAAGATTATTTATTTTAGAATCAAGAACAGTAGATTCCCGGTTTCCGCTAGAGGGCGCATTTGATATGGATATCGGAGCAAACGCAGAATTGAGATACAAGTTAAATTCTAATGAACATTTTCATTTGGATGTGAAAACAAATGAAGAAGGAACTAACTCTTTAGGGCTAGTATTGACGAAGCCGGTAGACAGAGAAGAAACCCAGGAACTTCGTTTATTACTGATTGCGGTGGATGGAGGAAAACCTGAACTAACAGGTACTGTTCAGTTATTGATCAATGTATTGGATGCAAATGACAATGCCCCAGAATTTGATAAATCAGTGTATAAGGTTAGATTACTTGAAAATACACCGAATGGGACGTTAGTTATTAAACTGAACGCCTCAGATGCAGATGAGGGTATTAATAAGGAAATAGTGTACCTCTTTAGTAATCTTGTTCTTGACAATGTAAAATCTAAATTTACAATAAATTCTAATAGTGGGGAAATAACGGTTAAGGGAGAACTGGATTATGAAGACTGCAATTTATATGAAATCAACATCGATGCTGTAGATAAAAGTCCATTCCCATTAACTGGACACTGCAAAGTAATAGTGAAACTCTTGGATGAGAATGATAACACTCCAGAGATGGCCGTCACTTCCCTGTCTCTGCCCGTCAGAGAGGACGCTCCACTGGGCACCGTCATTGCTTTGATCAGTCTGTCCGACCGAGATTCCGGTGCCAACGGACAAGTGACCTGCACCCTGTCGCCACACGTTCCCTTCAAGCTGGTGTCCACCTTCAAGAATTACTATTCGCTGGTGCTGGACAGCGCCCTGGACCGCGAGAGCGTGGCGAACTATGAGTTGGTGGTGACCGCGCGGGACGGGGGATCGCCTTCGCTGTCGTCCACAGCCAGCGTGTCCGTGGAGGTGGCCGACGTGAACGACAACGCGCCGCTGTTCGCGCAGCCCGAGCACACGGTGTTCGTGAAGGAGAACAACCCGCCCGGCGGCCACATCTTCACGGTGTCGGCGCGGGACGCGGACGCGCAGGAGAACGCGCGGGTGTCCTACTCGCTGGTGGAGCGGCGGGTGGGCGAGCGCGCGCTGTCGAGCTACGTGTCGGTGCACGCGGAGAGCGGCCAGGTGTCCGCGCTGCAGCCGCTGGACCGCGAGGAGCTGGAGCTGCTGCAGTTCCAGGTGAGCGCGCGCGACGCGGGCGAGCCTCCTCTGGGCAGCACCGTGACGCTGCAGGTGTTCGTGCTGGACGAGAACGACCACGCGCCCGCGCTGCTGCCTCCGGCCCCGGGCGGCCCGGGGGGA